GAGAGAAACATCGACATGAGCGAGACACACATTGAGTGGTTGCCACCCACACAACCTCAACCGAGGCCAGGGACAAACTTCAACCAAGGTACATGCCCTTAGCAGGAACCGAACCCGGGACTCTCTGGTCCACAGGCCGATGCTCTAACCACTGAGCCAAACTGGCCAGGGCATCTCCTTTATAATTTTAGACAAATAATGCTGACCAGTAATGGACTAGTAAATGTTTAACAACCACCTCTCCAGGTGAAAAGAGAGGAGCTCTGATTTATAGCATTTGCTGATTTCCATGGTATAAATACTCTAACCATGGCCAATTTCAAGCTATCAATGGTTTTACAACCTGCTCTCAAAATTTCTGACAATTTAGCAATTGCTCTCAGAAGCACTCTGCTACAGCACACTGTGAATACTGATTATGACAGATGTCCTCACTTGCTTTAAGTGACTCACTGGCCTTGTGGCAAGGTAGCTAAGAGCATAGGCCTTTAATTCTCTGCCTCATGGAGGCAGTGTAGTGCATGGTTAACAGCTATTGTGGTATTATCTTAAAAGGCTGTGATGAGGCTTTAAATGAGATCATCATGACATTTTTATTTATTTATTTTTTAATGGAAGCTTCTAGGCCTTCTTTTTTTCTTTTTCTTTATTGATTTTAGAGAGAGAGGAAGGGAGAGGGAGAGATAGAAACATTGATAAGAGAGAACATCGATTGGCCACCTCTTGCATGCCCCTCACTGGGGATTTGACCCACAACCTGGGCATGTGTCCTGACCGGGAATCGAACCGGTGACTTCTTGATGCATGGGTCAACACTCAACCACTGAGCCACCCGGCTGGGCAACATTTTTATTTTTATTTATTTATTTTTTTCTTTATTGATTTTAGAGAGAGAGGAAGGGAGGGAGAGAGAGAACATTGATTGGCCACCTCCTGCATGCCCCCCACTGGGGATCGGTCCCACAATCTGGGCATGTGCCGTGACTGGGATTCAAACCAGCGACCTCTTGGTGCACGGGTTGACGCTCAACCACTGAGCCACACCGGCTGGGCAACATTTTTATTTTTAAGTAATTTATTTTTTGTTAATCCTCACCTGAGGATATTTTTCCATTGATTTTTAGACAGAGTCAGGGGGTGGGGAGAGAAACATCGATGTGAGAGAGACACATCAATTGGTTGCCTCCCACACGTCCCCAAAAGAGAACGGGAATCAAACCCGAGACCCTTCAGTCCTCAAGCCGACACTCTAACCTCTGAGCCAAACCGGCGAGGGCCATCATGACATTTTTAAATGATGTTTATAAATTTGAACAACAAAAAATAAAAAGAGAATTAAAAACTTCAGCCCTGGCCAGGTAGCTCAATTGGTTACAGTATCCTCCCAATATACCAAGGTTGGGGGTTATCCTCCATCAGGGCGCATACAAGAAATAACCAATGGCCCTGGCTGTTTTGACTCAGGGGTTAGAGTGTCGGCCCGTGGTCCAGAGAAACCCGGGTTCGGTTCCCGCTAAGGGTACGTGCCTCAGTTGCAGTTTGTCCCCGGCCCCGGTTGGAGTCGTGTGGGTGGCAACCTGTCAATTTGTCTCTCTCACGTGGATGTTGTCGTCGTTTCTCTCTCTCTCTTCCTCCCTCTCTCCCGCTCTGTCTGAAGATAAATGCAAAAAAATGTCCTCGGGTGAGGATTAAAAGAAAGAAAAAAGAAACAACCAATGAATACATAAACAAGTAAACAAATGGAACAACAATTCTCTCTCTCTACCTCCCCCCTCACTCTAAAATCAATTTTAAAAAGAATGAAACAACTTTTTTCAGAAGTTGAAAAAAATGTTTATAAAAGACTGAGCACAATGACTGCCCATAGCAACAACATTGTTCAAAATATTTTTAAATAACCCTTTCTGTTTTACCCCCGGAGACACCCAAGACGTCAAAAATATAGATCCAAACTTCTCGCCAAGACAAGCAGTTCTATCATGAGAATCACTAGAATACATCCTCTGAGCAAAGGCATGCTCCAAGGTGTGTGGCACACATTCTTGGGACTTCAGGAGTTTAGAGGAGAGGAAACCAAATACGGAAGAGCTGGAAGGAGGGCTAACACAGCGCTCAGGCAAATTCAGCTCTCAAAAGAGTTTTGTTTGGCACCAGAAAGTTCTTAGGCGAGCATGTCTCTTCCATTTTCACAGTCCTCGTCCTTCCCATTGTCTTACTCTCCCCACTTTGCTCGTGTAAGTTACTGGCCCAGACCTTCAGCCATCCATCCAGCTAGCCGCTCTCTGATTTTTTTTTTTTTTTTTTTTTTTATCCTCACCCGAGGACATTTTTCCATTTTTTGTTCAGGTAGAGTGGGAGGGAGAGAGAGGAACAGAGAGAGAGAGAGAAACATCGACGTGAAAGGAACACATCGAGCGGCTGCCACCCGCACAACCGACCAGGGCTGGGGACAAACTGCAACCAAGGTACGCGCCCTTAGCGGAAACCGAACCCGGGTCTCTCAGGACCGCAGGTCGACGCTCTAACCGCTGAGCCAAACCGGCCAGGACCGCTCTCTGATTTTAAACTAATACCCTTGTGTTTTTAAACTGAGGTTTAGGTGTGTGAAAAATAATAACAAAAGTTAACTTTTATTGACCACTTACTTTGTGCCAGGCATTCTCTTAATACTTACTTTAACCCTATGAGGTGAATACTTTTTAATCTTTTTACAGGCAGGAAACTGAGTTTAAGAGAAAGAAACTAACTTGATAAGTTGCAGAGCTGGTAACAGCTTTGAACCTAGGTGTGCTTGGCTCTAGTCTACTAAAATACCACTAGATCAAGGGGAGAAGGGGAGGACATTCCAAGAAAAGATGACCCAAGCTAGGGGTAGAAGATATATTTGTGGACACAGGGCATTGGGAGAAGGCAGCAGACGGAGGTGGGAAGGCTCTGACCACAGGGAGATAGAGGTATTGACTTTGGGATAAATTGAGTTTACCCACTTTGCTTCACCCCCCGCTGCCTTGACCCTAGTGTAAACCTGGAATGCTGCAAGAGCCTCTGTACTGGTCTTCCTCTTCCCCTTTCATCCCTGTTCATCTCAATATAATTCTTACTCTCATCACTGTGATTGTTTGGAATGCAAACAGATCCTCTCTGACCTGACCCTGCTTAAAATCCTTCGAGGACTTGTCCTTGTACTGAGGATAAAATCCAAAAGCTTTAACATGGTCTTTCAGGCCCTGCTTGTGTCCACCTGTCTAGCCTCTGCTCGTCCTAGTCTCCCCATTGCCCATTTCGCTGTAATAACAACACTGGCTAATATTTATTAAGGCTCCACTCATCCTTTGGCCATTTTTATCCTTCAAATCTTATTCAACTTAAATGTCATTTTCCCCAAGAGACCCTCCTAACTCCACTTAGATAAAGTTTCTCTGTCCTCTTTCATAGCAACCTGGTCTTTCTTCACATAGCTTAGCATGTTATATGATTATTGTGTCTGTGTGTTTAAAGATTTAGGTCTGTCTTCATCACTAGATTGCAAACCCCGCACAGGAACATGGATTGTGTCTGTTTCTCTCATTGCTGTATACCCAGTGTTTAGCACAGCCCCTGCTTATGTTGAGTTTCCAACATGTGTTTGTAGAATAAATAGATTATATATATATATATATATTTTGGTACGTGCCCCTAGTGGGAACTGAACCGGGGACTCTCTGGTCTGCAGGCCAACGCTCCAACCGCTGAGCCAAACTGGCCAGGGCAGAATAAACAGATGACGAATTAACAGATGGGCCAGAGCCACATCTTCTTTTCCTTGGGTGGTACACACACACCGACAAACATACACTGATGGTGCTCAGTAGACATTTGAATACATTTGACAATAGGCACAAAAATTTACTTCAGCTTCAACTTTATTGGTGTGGCTTCTCTAGGATACCCAGGAGTGGGGCTGAGGCAGGAGTGAGCAAGTGGAGAGCAGAGTGCAGGTCTGAGCTGGGTGTAGTCAGTCACTGGAACCTGTGGAGAGGAGGGAGAGGAGGGGAAGTGGTGGAGAGGAGGGTCGTTACCAGCTTGGAGTCAGCAAAGTAAATTTCTCCTGGCACCCAGCCATAGTTCAGCTGCTCCTACCTCCAAATTACCTGTTTAATTATAAATAATTAAAGTAATGAAAAAAGCACATAGGCCCGGCCGACGTGGCTCAGTGGTTGAGCATTGACCCGTGCACCAAAAGGTCGCTGGTTCAATTCCCAGTCAGGACACATGCCCATGTTGTGGGCCAAATCCCCAGTGGGGGGCATGCAGGAGGCGGCCAATCGATGTTCTCTCTCATCGATGCTTCTGTCTCTCACTCCCTCATCCTTCCTCTCTCTCTAAAATCAATAAAGAAAAAAAAATTTTTTAAAGCACATAGACTGTTACCCGTTTTTCTATGGAGATTTTTCTCATACTCTCTTGTCTATCATTCTGGTCACATTCCCTTCTCCTTTCTTGTCCTCTTACAGGAAGTCTTCCCACATTTGTTCCCTCAGTCCTTCCCTAGCTTCCCAGCATGGACATCTAAATGCATTTTGGTTCCTGTGCCTCAGTATCTGCATTCTGAATGAGTGTCCTGTCTCACCATTTAGGTGGATGGGTCTCTCCATGGTATTTAGCTATCTCTTTCTTCTAGTACATAACAGACTGAAGGACTTCTTAGCTGGTGAGGTGGATTCAAGGACCATTGTGACCAGCAGTGGCTACAGAGAAGGGTAACATGCCTCCAACTATAGGGGTTCCATCACTGGGAAGGTTCCATGGCACAGGGGTACAGAGGGAAACTGAGAATAGGATGGGCAGGTCAGCTGGGGTGGGCAGGGGAGGTAAGCAGCATCTCACTTGGAGGAAGTTGAGAAAGAAGTACAGGCAGTAATAATAGCTGCCAACTCTGAGCTCTTACCATTCTGCAGAGGTTGCACAGCTTTTTCCTTGCATTATCTAATTTAAAACCCATAGCAGTCCCATGAAGTGGTTTAAATATCCCCAGTCTTCATGAAAACAGCGAGGTTCAGAGAGTCTAAGAACTTGCCAGCATATGTTGGGGTGAAGCTCTGAACCTGTGCCTGACCCCAGTGCTCGAGCGAGCTTATAACCACTAGGTTAGACACCCAAAGCCTCCCAGCTGTGCACCTGAGCCTGCAGAGCTCCTTCTGATCCGCCACCCAGGCCAGCAGCTCTTGAATCAGTAAGTCCTTCAGCAAATCCTCCTCACCGGGGTTCTTGGGTAGGGAGCTGCGAAGGAGAAAGCCTCAGGCAGGCTGCCTTAGCCTGGGCCCCACCCAGAGAGAGTAAATACAGGGGCTGGGACCCAAAGGGGCCGGGGGTGGGGAGGGAGTCCACCGGCTGCCTCTGGGTTACCTCGGCTTTAAAAACTCCAACCTGATCTGTCTGCCAGGGCAGACGGTCTCTTCAGCACCGGCAAAGCCGAACAGTATTCTGATGGGAGACATCCCACCCCTCCACCTCTGCAAGTGTCCCGGAATGCGTTCCAACCCCCATGAAATTATTCTGGGAACATTCACTCTTCATAATGATCTGTGCCATCGATGCCTCAGCTTCCTCAGAGAGGGGTAGCTGATCTGAGGGCACTGCTGTGGGGCAGGATGTCTTTCCTGACGCGTGCCTGGGAGAAGTGGGGAAGCCGGTTCCTGAGGTCTCTTTTGCTGCCCCTCTCCTGCACACTCACCAAGTCATCAATCTCAGAAACCCTGGCCCCCAAACCCCTCCCAGGCACCCCGCCCCCATTCCTCCCAGGCTTCTCCCTTAAGCTTAGGCTGACCTCCAAGAGTTCAGTGAAGACCCCTCTTTGAACTCCGAGTGGAAGGGGCTGCTTATCTGGGGCCTGGCCCTGCTCTGGAGTCTGGGAGAGGGAACAATGAGATGGGGGTGGGTCAGGAGGCCCCACACCCCTCCTTCCCCTGTGGGCTGACTCACCCCTGCTGCTCCCTGGCCTCCTTCTTCCTGTTAGATTGATGGGCCAGCTCTAGGGCCTGGGCCTCCCTCTGAGAGATGTTGTGTTTCCAGCTGGTAAGATAAAGATTAGGGAGTGGGTGGGGGGATAGAAGGTACCTCTTTCTTCCCTCAACCTCCCCGCTGCTGGTCTTCAGCTTTCCAGAATCTACCATGCCAACCAAACAGAGAGGGCAAGGAGAGATTTGGCAAAGAGTAGGAAGTAGGATGAGGACAATTTATTCTATTTCCAAATTCTGAAGCAGCCACCACCAAAGTCATGGACAGCAGCTCAGAGTCCCCTGCCTCCCCCCCACAGTCCCCTGGGAATCCTCGGTGAGTCCCACACATCTTCACCGACCATCCCCTTAAAAGAAAAAGATTGGAAAGTTGCTCTAGTCCTGCCCCCAGATTGGACCGCTGCCCAAGCCAGGACCGCCACGTGGTTCAGCTCTCTATCGTCGCCTAAGTGAAAGGCGCCACCTGGAGTTGTGTATCACACGGCCGCGTGCGTCGGGCGCCTGGGTGAATGGACAAGGTAGGGAGGCGCCCGGCTTGCTCAATAACTCACTCATTCTTCCTCCCCTTCTGTGCCAGCAGCCAGTTCACAAAGTCTTGTTGGCGGATCTTGTCCATAGCGATACTGTAGTCACTGATGAAAGTCCCCTCAGCATACCTGCGGCCTCGAGGTCCGGAGCCTCTGACCTTAGTGTGGAATCTGAGGGGCAAGAAGGGGAGAGAGATGGAAACCAGGACGCCACGAAGGGCAGGGGGCGGGGGATCACGATGCGGCATGAATGACTGTTGCTGACAGGAGGCCAAGGTCTGAAAACGAACCAGCCCATTTCCTGGGAGTCAGTTTTTATGGAGACACCCTCTTGGCCAAGCATTAGGCCCCTTGGACTTCATTTGCAGCTTAAAGGCCTACTTCCTGCATCCCCAGTGTGTGTGTGGCTCTGGCTTCCAGGCCAGGAGGACTCAGAGGCCCCTTATCCCAAAGGACTGGATCCACTGCCCTCCTCCCCCTCCAGCCCTGGCCACACCTGGTGTAGGTCTTTGGTTCCCTGTACGAACAATAGTGAGCTCTTCTGCATGGGTCAGGGCCTCCAACAGCCCTTTAGTACATACACTCCTTACACTGTTTATACCCCCTTTTTGTGAATGAGGAAACCAGGGTGCAGAGAGATTCATTTAACACACGGCATAGGTGGAGGATCCCGGTTTACCCCAGGTGGTCTGGGCCCACGTCCATGTTCTTCCCATCTCCACAACGTCTCTCCCTGCACATGTCTGGCAGCCGTGTCTCCAATTTACATCACCGAGTTTACACGAGCTTATAGCTTGTCCTTGCATCCAAGAAAGCCCAACTCTTCACTCAGATAAGTCTCTCTTGGTTCCTAAACACAGAGCCCCCTTCTGTGCTCATTTCCAATACTCTGCTTTTCCTCACAGTACTCATGAGTTTGCAACTCGCCTCGGTGGTTCTTTGTCTGTTTTCCCTGCACCCTACATGCTCCTTGAGGGCAGGAGGTCTTTGGGGACCACTCTTCACATGTAGCCCCTGCTCCTGGCACGCAGGGGGTCCTCTATAAAATTTGATCAAAGGCATGCATACATGAATGGTTAAGGGAGATGCTGTCATCTGTTTCAGATACTTAGCCACTGAGAAGTCCTTCCAGAGATCTAACCACAATCGCTCCCACTGCAACAGTAGCTCATGATAAATACTCTCTGGTTCTGTCCTCACCCTGCGCTCAGACTGCTGGCAGATTTTCCCCTGCAGCTTCTTTCCTCATGGCCTGGGATCCCTTCCTTTCTGGGGCCTCCCCTGAAAACCAGAACCTGGTCATCCCAGGCCTCTCCCCTGCAGCTGGCCCCTTCCTCCTCACCCCTACCTGGAATGGTCCTCTTCCTTATCTCCCAGCACCACTGCCAGGAGCAGGGACACCAGCAGCAGAGAGATCTTCATGGCCACCGTCTTGTAAGGGTTATTTCCTGAGCTAAGAGAGAACAGGACCAGGGTGAGGGGGCAGCCAGCATGGCAACGCACTGCTGGTGCCTCAGAGCTTGTGGGGTGCTGAAAGCTGGGGGGCCCTGAGCCCTGGGGTTTGGAAATTTTCTAAGATGCTGGAGCAGGATCTTGGGGGGGGGGTAATGTGGACCATACAGTTAGCAACTACAAGGAACAAGGCGTCTGGCCAAGGTGTGAGCCTTCTTTTTGTTTTGTTTTTAAGTGGAGTCTGAGTGGGGTGGGAGGAGGGCAGTGGGGAGAGACACAGGCAGAAGAAAGCAGCAGAGACCTGTGTGCCTGGACAGCCCCCCTTCCTGGCTCCAGTGGCTAGACATCACAGGCATGTGGTTTGGCAAGATTCTCCCCTCAGAGCCCTCCAAAGTTCATACCAGCCGGCCTTCCAGCTCTCAGATTGGCTTGTCACCTAAATCAGCACAGCCCCTTGCCCCAAGTGAAACCACACGGAACCATCCCATTCTCCTCTTTCAGACTCGACTCTCTTGACTCAGGTCATTTCTTCCCGAAGTCTGACCTCTCTCCCAAGGGCTTGTCCCACTTCATCCAGGGGGACTTCAGTAAAGAGGAAGAACAGTAAGCAACCTTTCTCCCAAGCCTAAAAACCAAAGCTAGGCTAGAGATGTGCGGGCCGCCAGGCCTCCTCTTCCTGCCTGCCTGACCCGCGTGTTAAAGCATCCGTCAGCGCCGCCCTATTTCTTTTTTTTTTTTTTTTTTATCCTCACCCGAGGACATTTTTCGATATTTTGTTTAGATAGAGTGAGAGGGAGAGAGAGAGAGAGAGAAACATCGACGTGAAAGCGACACATCGAGTGGCTGCCACCCGCATGACCCAACCAGGGCCGGGGACAAACTGCAACCGAGGTACATGCCCTTAGCGGGAACCGAACCCGGGTCTCTCCGGACCGCAGGCCGACGCTCTAACCGCTGAGCCAAACCGGCCAGGGCGCCGCCCTATCTCTTATATAGAGCGAAAGCAAGTGAGCTGCAAGGGTGCTGAGCCCCTCAGGGGTGCCCAGGCCCACCTCTCTCCAGCATCCCTGTCCCGGCTGCTCTCTTACCAGATGTCCTTCCCAGCTCTTCTTCCAGAAGAAGGGCAGGGTGGGTCACTTCCTCCTAACTTCTGGCCCTTCAGAGCCTGCCTCAAGGAAGCCTGCTGTACCTCCTTTATATCCAGACATCACAGACCCTCTGATTAGCCTAAAAGCATCTTATCTCAAGAAATTAAGCCCGCAGATCCTGCTACATTAAGTCCATTTTACATGTAATAAAGTTTCTCTTTCCACCTGAACCGTACTAATTGGTGATTAACATTTGGATATATCCAGCTGCTGTCTGGGGCCTGCCCATGAGTAGGGTACCTTAAGTGCCCCCTTTTTACTTCCTCCTCCTCCCTTTTAGGCACAGGGCCCAGTACCCCTCCCCCCCCCGCCCCACTTCTTTTACTGGTGCCTTCAGGTAGAAAGGATGCCCTCGGGGAGGGCAAACTTGGTAGGGTGGCACTCGCTGGGGAAAGGGGAAACTCCCAAAGGCAATAGGCTACACCTGGGTGGGAGAGGATGGGGTGCAGTCATTTGAACCCCAGCTTTGGCAATGTGACAGTGTCCCCATTGTGATATCTAGGAGGGTATCCCAGCTGTCTGGGGAAAGACTGGGAAACAGAGGGTGTTGGACTGAGGGAACATGAAGAATGGAGGTTCCCTGGTGGTAGCTGGATGAACTGAGAACTTAGACTGCTTCTCTTCTTAGGGGCAGGACAGAGCAGAGAAAAGAGGCGTATTTACACCGTGGGAACTCAGAGGGAGATGCAGCAGCTCCAACTCCACTTATCTATGAAGATTTTTGAGATCCAATCCTGTCTCTTCAAATGCCTACTCTCCTACACAAGAGAAGTCTGTGGTCCTGCCTCTGCCATCAGCCGGGGGGACCCTGAAGTCACACTGTGCCTGCCTGTCAGACTGGAGGGCTCTCCAGGGCTGGGACTTGGTCTCCCTGATCAGACTGGGGACTCTCTGAGAGCAAGGTGTGAGCCAGAGGCTATATCTCCTCCATCCTGCAGAGGCATCCTGAGGCCAAGGGCTGTGCCGCCCCTCACACTGAAGACCCCTTGGCGTGCTCCCTTTGCCTTGCTCCAAGAACTCGGCACATGGCTTTGTCCACAGGAGCTCTCGGTCTGGAACGCACAGAGCACAGGCTGCATTTTGGGTAGACCCCAGGCCTTTCCAGGCTCTCCCTTCCCCACTCACTATGGGTACTGTGAGCCATAAACAACCACGCTCAAGCTCTGCCTATTAGCTCCAGGGCCTGATAAAGGCCGCTTTCTTTCCAGGTGAACTCCCCAGCCTGGGAGCAGCTTCAGCATGAAATTAAGTGCTTGTGTGGGATGAGACGTAACTGAACCAGTAGGGCAACTCACCTTTGCTTCCTAGAAACCTTTCCCGCCCACCACCCATTTTCCACCATCTGGAAAAACTTCTCACTGGGCAAGCTCTCCAAACTCCATCTCCCGGCTATCAGTGGGTTAGACATCCATTCAGACTTGGCCTCCAAAGGGGATGTAGGGACTGCTTGTGATCCTGCTTCCTATTGAACAACACAGTTAATGGTCTCAGAAGGGATTGTGTCAACACCCTAGAGGCAAAGCATCTCTAAGAAGGGCAGACATCATCCCTGGTTTGATGCCAAAGAAGGTGCAGTGATGGGTCCTAGCAGTCCTGAGCCCCGCCTAGTTCTCTGTGGATTTGTTTTTGGGGAGTGGACAGCTCAGAAGGACAGTTGTACTTTTTTTTTTTAAATCCTCACCCAAGGATGTTTTTTATTGATTTGAGAGAGAGAGAGAGAGGAAGTGAGAAGGAGGGAGAGAGAGAGAAAGAAAGAGAGAGAAACATCAATGTGAAAAAGAAACATCAATTGGTTGCCTCCCATACGTGCCCCAAATGGGGATCGAACCTGAAACCTAGGTATGTTCCCTGATTAGGAATTAAACCTGCAACTCTTCGGTACATGGTACGACTCTCCAACCAACTGAGCCACAATGGCCAGGGCCCAGTTGTGCTTTAAGTCCTTACCCACCCCCTCTTGGAGGGGACCTCTCTGCAGCCCCCTCCTTGTGTCCCTTTTATCTCTGGCTCTCGTGCCATGCAGTGCAGTGGACATACCAGGGAGAGTGTGGTCTGGGCCCTGGGGGAGAGAGGGATGTGAGGAGGACCAGCAGAAGAGATCAGAGAAAATGCCAAACTCCCAGGGGAGGTCACAGGCCTTTCCCCACACACAGAGCATGTTAGGAGGTCAGGGAATGACAAGTATGGCCTTGAGAAGTTTCTGGGGATCAAGAGGGCCTTCTGGACTTGATCAAAATTGTTCAGTAAATCCTTCTGGCAACTTGGCCAGCCCATTCATGTCACATGAGAGACAGACGCAGAACATGCAACACAATGTACACATGGGGTGGGTAGGGATCTCAGAAGGGGGCAGAGCCCCAGTCGACTGCAGAGAATTTCCAGGATGTGAGGGATCAAAGAAGACACAGGGGATGGGGAGGCAGGAGGATCCCTCCAACTAGCCCAAAGCCCAGATACAAAGTCTGATGATCCAGACAGTTGGAGTTGGAGGTGGGGGTGAGGATGTCTGAGGAGTCCTGGAAGTCAAGGAATGTGTGCAGCGAAGGGGTGGTGGCAGGACTGTGAGAGAACCCAGGGTCCTGCTTTCCATGGCTTCTGGGCTTCTTAGTAGACACCCCAGGAATGAGAACTGGAACAGCAGGGAGCCTTTGGGGTTTGCTGACTCTTCCAGCTCAAGGTGGTGAGTCACCACCCCACCCCCACCCCATGGCCTGCAGGACCACCGCAGACATTCCAGGCCCAGCTCTGCAGCCTGGCCTGGGTGACTCAGATACTGGCCTGCTGCCTCCCTGCCTGAACTCTGCTTTTGAAGTTCAGTTGGTCTTCAAGCTCATTGACTGACTCAGAAAGCAGACATCCTTCTCTGATCTCTGAAAACAGGTGGCAGATTTATTCTCCTTCAGAGGTGACAAGAAGTGACATGAACCCTCACAAACTTGGTCGAGTCATCTGGTCTACCTGATTCATTTTTTTTTTTTTTTTTTTTAATCCTCACCCAAGGACATTTTTGCATTTATCTTCAGATAGAGCAAGATAGAGCAGGAAGAGGAGAGGAAGAGAGAGAGAGAGAAACATCGATTGCCACCCACAAACCCCATGAGGCTGGGGACAAACTGCAACCAAGGTACATGCTCTTAGCGGGAACCGAACTCGGGATTCTCTGGTCCGCGGGCCGACGCTCTAACTGCTGAGCCAAATCAGCCAGGGCTATCCTGATTCTTTTTTTATTATTATTATTATTAATTAATTTATTTATTTTTGTTACAGATGTTTCTCCTTTTCCCCCCACTGAGTCCCCCCTCCCCCCCCTGCCCTGTCCCCAACTTTGTTGTCCATGTCCATTGTTCATGCATACATGCATATAAGTTCTGTGGTTTACCTCTCCCCTTCACCCCCTCTTCAGGGGATTGTCAGTCTGTACCCCACTTCCATGTCTCTGGGACTACCCCATTCCTCAGACTGTTATGTTCATTATATTCCACAAATAAGTGAGATCATATGATACTTGTCTTTCTCTGTTTGGCTTGTTTTGCTTAGGATAATTCTTTCCAGGTCCCTCCATGTCGTCTCAAAGGATAAAAGATCTTTCTTTCTTACAGCTGCATAGTACTCCATTGTGTATATGTACCACAGCTTTTTTATCCATTCATCTACTGTTGGACATTTGGGCTGTTTCCAGATCTTAGCTATTGTAAATAGTGCTGCTATGAACATGGGGGTACATATATTCTTTCTGATTGGTGTTTCAGGCTTCTTAGGGTATATTCCTAGAAGTGGGATCACTGGATCAAATGGAAGTTCAATTTTTAATTTTTTGAGGTAACACCATATTGTTTTCCATAGCGGCTGCACCAGTCTGCATTCCCACCAGCAGTGTACTAGAGTTGCCTTTTCTCCACACCCTCACCAGCACTTGTTTGATGATTTGTTGATGGCGGCCATTCTGACAGGTGTGAGGTGATACCTTATTGTTGTTTTAATATCCTGATTCTTAAAAGGACTACTTGTAGCTTTCCTCCCTGGTCACATCACAAATGCAGTCATGGTCCCAAACATTTTTGCCCACACCAGCCTCTGCACCACTCAGGTAAAGATAGATACTTTCCAGAAGGATCTTCAAGAAAGAATATACCACCGACAGCCTCTCTTGGCCCTCTGCTACAAGGGATGAGTTTGGAAGTCCTCTCTCAGTTCTAACTCCAATTCCTCTTGCTGTTTTCAAAGGCTATTTTGTTTGTCATGAAAAGAGCTGAGCTCTTTTTTTTCTTTAATGTTGAAAGTATTACAGATGTCCCTCCTTTTTTTCTCCCATCGAAGGAGCTCAGCTCTTAGCAGTTGCAGCCTAATCCATGGGTTGAGAGTCCCAGAGAAGAGTTAGAACTGGGAGGTGTGGCAAAAAGGTTCTCACTTCCAGAGAGGGAAAGAATCAGTTATGCATTTAGGATAAAAGACCAAAGGGCTGGGACTCCCAGAGAGAGCAGCATTCCTGAGCCCCTCTCTGTCCCAGGTGGGAGAACATCCCACAGAAAGAAAGAGAATGGTGAAAGGGAGGGTTTTCCTTTCCTTTTCCTTGCATGGGGATATGATGGATGGAGCAGTTTCCAGGGTCCCCAGTGAACAACGCCCTTCTGCCCAGTCATGAACTCAAACACCTGCGTGCGTGTGCGCGCGCACACATACACACACACACACACACACACACACACACACACACACACACAAATTCCTGCAATGAGTGAGGGGAGGGCCTTCTGCAATTTCAGAAAATGTACCCCTCATTAATTAGATTAGGGAGTAGCCTGGTTGGATGAAGAGAGGTGAATAGGAGGATTCAAGCCTAAATGCCACCCTCCTACCGCTCCTGAGTTACGTTCAACTCATTCGGAGCCTTAGCTTGCCTAACTCTAAATTGAGAACAAAAACAAAACCTGCCCTGGCCGGTTTGGCTCAGTGGTTGGAGTGTCGACCTGAGGACCAGAGAGTCCTGGGTTCGGTTCCCGCTAGGGGCATGTACAGAAAGGAAGAAAGGAAGAAAGGAAGAAAGGAAGAAAGGAAGAAAGGAAGAAAACAAAACCTGCCCTGCCTACCTAATAGGTAAGTGTGAGGTTAGTGTCTTGTTAACTTGAAGTCATCCTGCGAGTGTTGGCTGTTGGTTTTCATCAGGAATGATCTTCTCCACCTCACTCAAAGATGAGAATTCAATAAGATGAAATAATAGAGCCAGGCTGACTCAGCCCAGCACCCGGCACATAGAAGGCTGTGAAATTCCACAGTAGGAACAAAGGCTTTGGAGTCACCTATGCTTTCTAGTAGAGTGATTAGAACAACTACTCTTTTTTAAAAAACTTTTAAAGACCTGGTCGGTGTGGCTCAGTGGTTGAGCGTTGACCCATGTACCAAGAGGTCACCGGTTTGGTTCCCGGTCAGGGCACATGCCCAGGTTGTGGACCCAATCCCCAGTGGGGAGCATGCAGGAGGCAGCCAATAGATGTTCTCTTTCATCGATGTCTCTATTTCTCTCTCCCTTCCTCTCTCTCTAAAATCAATAAAGGAAAAGAAAACTTTTTTTTTAAACTTTTAAAAATGTTTTTTATTTTTATGTTATTTTATTTTTTAAATATTGTTGAAAGTATTACAGATGTCCCCCCTTTTCTTCCCCATTAACCCCCTCTTCCCCACTCTCTGCCTTCCCCACATTATTGTCTGTGTCCACTGTTTATGCATGTATTCATATAAGTTCTTTGTTTTTTCTCTTCCTACACCCTGCCCCCTAGAGCATCTACTTTCTGTGCTTCAGTTTGCCTTTCTGTAAAATGGGGACGGTAATAGTTCCTACCTCAAATAATTGATTTGGGGAACATGGATACTTAGAAGATACATAATGTTACATTGTGTCTTGATACATTAGTTACCTTTCACTGCATAACAAATGACTCCAAATATTAGCAATTTAAAACAAGGCACATTCATTATCTCAGTTTCTGAGGCTGGGGAATCTGGGAGTGGCTTAGCTGGGCGGTTCTGGCTCAGGGTCTCTCTGGAAGTCCAAGTCGCCTATCAGTGGCGCTTCAATCTCAGAAGACTTCTCCGGGCTGTAGATCACCTTCTGAGCTCACTCTTGTGACTGTGGGCCTCCACAGAGCAAGGGCAGGCACCTAAGATGAAAGCCTAAATGAATTTTAATAATTTTTAAAATATTGTTTATTGATTTTTTAGAGAGAGAGAAAGGAAGAGAGAGATAGGAACATCGATATGAGGGAGAAACATTGATCAACTGCCTCCTGCACGACCCCCACTGGGGATCGAGTCTGAAACCCTGGCATGTACACTGAGCGGGAACCTCTCAGCCCATGGGATGATGCCCAATCCACTGAGCCACACCGGCCAAGCAAGCCTAAATGTCTTTTAAGATCTAAATCTAGAAGCGACACACTATTACTTCAGCTATATGTTACACAGACCAACTCTGGAACATTGTGGGACGAACTACACAGGAGGCAGAGATCCTTGGGGCACACCTTAGAATTTAGCTACTGTATATACAGGGGTGGGCAAAAGGAGGTGTATGTGAAACACAGAGTTAATAAGGCTATTGTAATAATCATAACCTGCATGTCTTCTTCCATATGAACAGCTATGACCACTTTTGCCCACCCCTGTATAATCAGCCCTGAAAAGTGTTGACCATCATTGTCATTACTATAAAAGATGCTAGATTGATTAAACATTTATTCTCATTGTCATAAACTCTGGTCGTTTAAAATCTGTCTTGTTACATCTGTAACAAAAATTAATTAATTAATTTAAAAAAATAAATAAAATCTATTTATCTTGGTTTCTTTCTCTCTACAAGAGTGGGGACTGAGATGATTTTAGATACTGAAGACAGATAAAGCTGGTATTTGTGGAATATCAGGGAAATTATTAGCTTTATCTGTCTTCAGATGTACAGATGTCAGTATATTGCATTCCGAGAGGGTACCTGATGGTTACGCAACAAATACTGCATGGGACATACTTATTCTAAAAAAGTTTTTTGTTTTTTTTGTTTTTTGGTATGTGCCCCTAGCAGGAACCGAACCCAGGACTCTCTGGTCCGCAGGCCGACGCTCCAACCACTGAGCCAAACTGACCAGGGCTAAAAAAAGTTTTTAAATATTGTTTTCTTTATTGATTTTAGAGAGAGAGGGAGAGAGAGATAGAAACGTTGATGAGAGAGAACATTGATTGGCTGCCTCCTGCATGCCCCCAACTGGGGATTGAGCCCACAACCTAGGCATGTGTCCTGACCACCAGGAATCAAACAGATGACCTCTTGGTGCATGGGTTGATGCTCAACCACTGAGCCAAACCAGCCGGGCTAAAAAAAGTTATTAAATTATTGTTTATTCAATAGGAGAAAATGACACAGACAAAAACAAACAAACAAAAAAACCAATAACAAAATTGTTTTTCTTCTGATTCAAAATTTTTTTTATTATTCTCACCCGAGGACATTTTTTGATATTTTGTTCAGATAGAGTGGGGGGGGGGGGCGGAGAGAGAAAGAGAAACATCGACGTGAAAGGGACACATCGAGTGGTTGCCACCCACACGACCCAACCAGGGCCAGGGACAAACTGCAACTGAGGTACGTTCCCTTAGTGGAAGGGAACCCAGGTCTCTCTGGATTGCAGGCCGATGCTCTAACCGCTGAGCCAAACCAGCCAGGGCTGAAATTCAAATTTAAACACCTTGTAGTGTTTACTTGCCAAATCTGGCAACCTTACATGGAAAGCTGTTTAGTTATTTTTTTTTAGTATGTATTTATATTTTTTTATTTAGAAATGTTTATTTATTTTTATTCCTCACCCAAAGATATTTTTCCATTTATCATTAGATAGAGTGGGAGGGAGGGAGAGAGATAGAAACATCAATGTGATAGAGCCACATCGGCTGGCTGCCTCTCGCATGACCTGACCAGGGCTGCAACCAAGGTACGTGCCCTTAATCAGAATTGAACCTGTGACTCATTGATCCTAGGGCCGTCGCTCTAACTGCTGAGCCAAACTGGCCAGGGCATAGAAATGTTTATATCAGTATAGTGAAACTGAATTTTAAAAGATATTGGATATTATTAGTTGGATACTATTTGTGTGTTTTCTATTCTCACTTGAGGACATTTTTCCACTTTTGTTCAGATAGAGTGGGAAGGAGAGAGAGAGAGAGAGAGAAACATCGACATGAAAGGGACACATCAACTTGACTGGCTGCCTCCCGCATGACCCAACCAGGGCCCGGGATGAATCACAACCAAGGCACGTGCCCTTGAGTGGAATCGAACCTGCGACTCATTGGTCTGCACACCGATGCTCTAACAGCTGAGCCAAATCGGCCGGGGCGGATATCATTAGTTTATTATAAGAGATACAGAGCCCTGGTCGGTTTGGCTCGAGAGGTTGGAGCGTCAGCCCACAGACCAGAGAGTCCCTGGTTCAGTTCCTGCTAAGGGCATGTACCTGTACCTCGGTTTCAGTTCATCCCCTGCCCAGTTGGGGTTGTGTGGGTGGCAACCACTCCATGTGTCTCTCTCACACATTGATGTTTCTCTCTCTCTCTCTCTCCCTCCCGCTCTATCTGAAGATAAATGCAAAAAAAAAAAAAAAAAAAAAGAGAGAGAGACACAGAAATAATTTACACAATGGAAAAGAAATTTCGGAACTTCAATGGAATGGGCGCTTCACATAGTGCTACTTCAATAGTGATTTATTTTAGTCTACGTACCTTCCAAGAATGTCACCATCTCTAAATAAGAAATCATCTTTGTCATCTAGAACTATTTTGGTACCTTCGTATTTTGGAAGAACTTTATCTCCAACTTTCATGCTAACTGGTTGAATCTCTCCAACCTTTCCTTTGGAGCCCAATCTAACAGCTACTACTGTTGCTTGCAATACTTTTCTTTGAAACTTTTCTGGAAGGCAGTGCCTCCTTGGTTACAGTTTCCACAGCACTTCTTTGACTAATATCCAGTCAAAGAGGGGAAGAAAGTTTCTAAATACATGACTCTGGCCATAGCAGTTTGTGCTTTCCTTGGAAAGCTTTTTATTTTTTTAAAATTCTATTTATTGATTGATTGACTTTAGAGAGAGGTAAAGAGAGAGAAAAGGATCAATTTGTTGTTCCACTTATTTATGCATTCGTTGGTTGATTCTTGTATGTGCCCTGATGGAGGATTGAACCCACAGCCTTGGCGAATGGGGACAATGCTCTACCCAAGTGAGCAACTCAGCCAGGGCTCCATGGAGAGCTTTTTTCTTTTTTAGTCTTTACCTGAGGATATGTTTTTATTTATTTTAGAGAGAGATAAAGGGAGAGGGAGAGAGAGAGAGAGAGAGAGAGAGAGAGAGAGAGGAAGGAAGGAAGGAAGGAGGGGGGAGAGAGAGAGAGAGAAAGAGGGAAAGAAAGAAAGAAAGAAAGAAAGAAAGAAAGAAAGAAAGAAAGAAAGAAAGAAAGAAAGAAAGAAAGAAAGAAAGAAAGGGGGGAGGGAGGGAGGAAGGAAGCCCCTGGCTGGTTTGGCTTAGCAGTAGAACGTCGACCTGCAGACCAATGAGCCCCAGGTTTGATTCTAGCCAAGGGCACGTACCTTGGTTTGCGGTTCATCCCAGCCCTGGTCATGAGGGAGGCAACCAGTCGATGTGTCTCTCTCACATCGATGTTTCTCTCTCTCCCTCCTTCCTACTCTACCTGAAGATAAATAGAAAAGTATCCTCAGGTGAGGATTATAAAAAAGAAAAGAAAAATATTCTTAGGTGAGAATTAACAAACAAACAAACCCCTTTTATTTTGAAATAATTTAGCCCCCCATCACCACCAAAAGCTGGTTAGAGCATTGTCCCGGTATACCAAGATTGTGGGTTCCATCCCCGGTCAGGGCATATACAAGAATCAACCAATGAATGGACAATAAATGGAAAAATAAATTGATGTTTCTCTCTCTCTTTCTAAAAATCAAATTAAGTTGATTGGAATGTCGTCCTGTAAGATTGAAAGGTGATGGGTTCGATTCCCAGTCGAGGCGCATACCCACGGTTCAGGTTTGATCCCTGGTTGGGGAGCATTCTGGAAGCAAGTGGTTGATGTTTCTCTCTCACTTCGATGTTTCTCTCTCTTTCTCCTTCCCTCTCTCTCTAAAATCAATAAACATATTTTTTTTAAATGTAAAAAAATAATTTAAAACTTACGGGAAAGTTGCAAAAATAATACATAGATCTCCAATATACCCACAGATTCAACAATTTTTAACATTTTTCCACTATGTTGTATCATTCTATTTTCTATCTTCTCAACATTTGGGAGTAGATTGCATCATTTTTAAAACATCTTTTAACACTGATTTTAGAAAGAGAGGAAAAAAGAGAGAGGGGGAGAGAGAGAGAAAAATATCAATTTGTCCTTCCACTTACGCACTCATTCAAAACTGTAACATTGTGCATCTCTTCAGAGTGATGTTTGCTTTTTCTGGGATGTCTACAGTCTGATTGCTGAGAATAGTCTTCATTTTCGCGGTAGATGTGGCAAAGAGTTACAATTTTTTTTTTTTTTTTATCCTCACCCGAGGACATTTTTCCATTTTTTGTTCAGATAGAGTGGGAGGGAGAGAGAGGAAGAGAGAGAGAGAGAAACATCGATGTGAAAGGGACACATCGAGTGGCTGCCACCCACACGACCAACCAGGGCCGGGGACAAACTGCAACCGAGGTACGTGCCCTTAGCGGGAACCGAACCCGGGTCTCTCTGGACCGCGGGCCGACGCTCCAACCACTGAGCCAAACCGGCCAGGGCAAGAGTTACAATTTTTTAAAAATTGTCCCAATAAAATCCTTTTGGGTATTTCCTCTCAGTATTATTAGATACAGTCCAGGATTGTGTATTGCATTTAATTGTCATGTCTCTTTATTCTCCTTTACTCAGTTTCTCATCCTTCTTTGTCTTTCATGATACTGACATTTTCAAGAGTACAGACCAGTTATGTTATAGAATGTTTCTCAATTTGGGTTTGTCTGATGTTTCTTCCAAATTAGATTCAGGTTATGCATCCTGGCCAGAATACTAGAAATATGAAGGTGTGTCCTTAACAAAGTAGCCCACCTGGAGGAACAAGTTGTCTACCTGCTCATGATTGATGATAATTTTGAGCACCCAGTCAAAGTTTTGTTGAATTTTCCCACTGTATACAGCAGTTACTATTTTTCTCCTTATAACTAAAAAGTCATGTACAGGGAGAGGAGGCACTTTTAGACACTGCAAATACCTTCTTCCTCATCAGACTTCCCCCAACCTCAGATTTATTTAACAACCATTGATGATTCCTTTTTTTTTTTCAATTTTTTTCTTTACTGATTTTAGAAGGAGGAAGAGAGAGATAGAAACATCTATGAGAGAGAACATCGATTGGCCGCCTCCTGCATGCCCCCCAATGAAGATTTGGCCCAAAGCCTGGGCGTGTGCCCTGATCAGGAATTGAACTGGCAACCTCTTGGTGCATGGGTTAATGCTCAACCACTGAGCTACATCAGCCGGGCCATTGATGATTTTTGCTTGAATCCGTCTTTCATGATGATGAAAAATAGTCATTTTTCAATTCACCACTCCCTGATTTTTAAAAACAGCAGTTTTGAGGTATAACTGACAATAACTGCATACACTGTATATATTTATTTGTTTGTTTATATATTTATTCACTTATTTTTGTTGTTAATCCTCACCCAAAAATATTTTTCCATTGTTTTTTGTTTTTGTTTTTTTTAGAGAGAATGGAAGAGAGGGGGAAGAGAGAGAGAGAGAGAGAGAGAGAGAGAGAGAGAGAGAGAGAGAGAGAGAAACATCTGTGTGATAGAGACACATAGATTGGTTGCCTTCCACAGGATCCCAACCAGTGCCAGGGCTCAAACCTACAACCCAGATATATGCCCTTGACTGGGAATCAAACCCTAACCCTTTGGTCTGCGGGCTGACCCTCTAAACGCTGAGCCAAACTGGCCAGGGTTAACTGCATACATTTAATTTAAAGTGCACAATGTGATGCTTTGACCTATGTTCTCTCCCATGAAACCATCACTACAATTAAGGTAGTGAACATATCTACCATCCTCAAAGGTTTCCTGAGCCCCTGTCTCCTACCATTTATTCCCCTTCCAACCACTGATCTGTTTTCTGTCACTGTAGATTAGTCTGCATTTTCTAGAATTTTATATAAATGAAATCATATAGTACATACTCTTTTTTTTTGGGGGGGGGGGTCTGGCTTTTTTCATTTAGTATACTTATTTTGAGATCCAATTTTATTTGTGGCATGATTAACAGTCCATTCATTTTTATTTTTGAGTATACTCTTCCATCGTTTGGATACAGTAGAATTTGTTTATTCATTCAGCTATTATTGGATTTAGGTAGTTTCCAGTTGGGGCTATTACAAATTAAGCTGCTGTGAACATCTGTGGACACATCTTTGAATGGACATATGCTTTTCTTTTTTCTTGGGTAAATACCTAAGATTGGAATACGTTTAACTTTTTAAGAAACTGCCAAACTGTTTTCGGAAGTGGTTGTAATATTTTATATTCCCACCAGCTGTATGAAAGTTCCAGTTCTTCCACAGTCTGGTCAAAACTGGATATGGTCTGTCTTTTTCTTTTTCTTTTTCTCCTCACTGGAGGATATATATATATATATATTTGCATTTATCTTCAGATAGAGCGGGAGGGAGAGAGGAAGGAAGAGAGAGGGAGAAGCATTAACATGAGAGAGAGACACATCAATTGGTTGCCACCCACACAACCCCAACGGAGCCAGGGACAAAGTACAACCAAGGTACGTGCCCTTAGCGGGAATCAAACCCGCGATTCCCCGGTCCACGGCCGACGCTCTAACCGCTGAGCAGAACTGGCCAGGGTGATAATATTATTTTTTAATTTTTATTCATTTATCATTTTTTAATCCTCACCTGAGGATATTTTTACATTAATCTTCAGATAGAGCTGGAGGGAGAGAGGCAAGAAGAGAGGGAGAGAGAGAAACATCGACAGGAGATAATCAATTGGTTATCACCCACACAACCCCTACTGGGGCCGGGGACAAACCATAACCGAGGTAGTGCCCTTGGCCGGAATCGAACCTGGGACTCTCTGGTTCGCAGGTGACGCTCTTACGACTGAGCCATATCAGCCAGGATGATGATATTATTATAAAAAACTTTTTAAAAAATTGATTTTAGTCCTGTCCAATCAGCTCAGCGGTTAGAGTGTCAGCCGCGGACGAGAGAGTCCCGAGTCAGGTTCCTGCTAAGAGTGTGTACCTCGGTTTTGGTTCATCTGGCCCCGGTTGGGGTCCTGCAGGTGGCAACAGGTCGATGTGTCTCTCTCACGTTGATATTTCTTTTTCTCTCTCTTCCTCCCTCTCTCCCTCCAGTTCTATCTGAAAATAAATGCAGGAAAATGTCCTTGGATGAGGATTAAAAAAAAAAAAAAAGATTTTAGAGGAAGAGAGAAGCATTGATTTGTTGTTCCACTTATTTATGCACTCATTGGTTGATTCTTGTATGTGCCCTGACTAGGGATGGAACTTGCAAGCTTGGCATATCCAGATGACGCTTTAACCAACTGAGGCACAATACTGTCGACTCTATTTCCTGTGTTGTACTTTATATCCTTCATGAATCAGCGTGTCAGCCTTGCACAGGGGCCATGCTAATCTTCTCTGTATCATTCCAGTTTTAGTATATATGCTGCCAAAATGAGCACTTGGGTAATGTTTTTCAAATGCTTAGAACTCCATGCTCTAGGAGGGAAGAACAGAAGGTGTGATTGGTGTATGGTACCCATGAGCTATTTTCAACCAGTTAGAACATCTAACACAAGTCAGACATTTGCTCCAGGCAAGGCTGCTTGGGCAAATTCCGATCCCAAGTCCCTTTGCTTTTGGTGGGAATAGTATCACCTCGTGCACTTGTGCAGAGCGGGAGCTCTGCTTAGCCACTCAACATGAGAACGATTTGTCATTACTTGATAATGGAATTTTCTGATAGACAACATTTTTCAAAACATTGGACTCTGGAGAAATAATCAAGGAGATCTTAGGTGGTAAAAATAATAGAGACCACTCATAGGGTGGGATCCAGAAAGCAACATGGATCCTGCCCTGTGTTTTCCAATGTGTTGAAAGACATGATTCCATGGCCAGAGACTCCCAGACTGAGGAAGAAGAAATAAGTTTCACCCTTAGAGGGTACCAGTGAATGCAAAAGAAAATGAAAATGACTCAAACACAGGACTTCAAAGGAGGAATGTGTCTTCAAGATCCAGAACAAACTGAGAAGGGGTGAATCTAAGCACTTGCTTCATGTTGTTTATCATGCTGATCCTAAGTTTCAGCCCATACCATCTCAGTTTATTGGGAATACATGTGTAATTAACAAGTCCTTTAGCTAAAGTCAAGCCATATTTGTGACTGATCAGGGTGCGTTGCAGTTAACTCTCAACCCTGGTTGCTAATGGAAGGAGAATTTCTGGCTGTATTAAATCTAGAAACAGCGGATGATTCAGAACTATTCCCTACTTAGCTTGTGAAGGTATCCTGGGTTGATTCATTTGTTATAAAAATATAATAGACGATCCAGAAATTTTTAAAAATATAGGAGAGAGAGAGAGAGAGAGAGAGAGAGAGAGAGAGAGAAATAGAGAAATAGAGAAATAGAGGGAAAGGGAGAGAAACAGAGAAATGTGGCTACATTTTCAAAACCAAAGAGTTACTGTTAACATTTTCCCCAAACTTTTTGTTAATTCAATTGATTTTAGTATGAACTATGTATACTTAACAAAGATAATTAAGTTGTAATGTAAATTTTCAAGAATAATACAACAAATACTAGTGTATTTACCACTCAGATTAAGAACTAGAATATCCATCCCCAATATCTTTTATTTTATTTTATTTAAATCCTCACTTGAGGATATTTTCAGACAGAGTGGGAGGGAGGGAACGAAGGAGAGAGGAGGGAGGGGAGACACACACACACACACACCTTGATTGGTTGCCTCCTGCAGGACCCTGACCAGGGCCAGGGACCGAACCACAACAAGTTCTGTGCCCTTGACTGGAATCGAACCAGTGACTCTTTGGTCTAAGGGATGACGCTCTGCTGAGGAAAACTGGCCAGGCCCATCCCCAATATCTTTGAAGTGCCCTCTGAGGCCCTCTACAGTCATCCCTGTGCTACTTCCCAGAATTAACCACATTCTGAAATTTTATCCATCATTCTCTTTTTTATTTTTTAATTAAAAAAAATTTTCTTTTCTTGATTGATTTTAGAGAGAGAGGAAGGGAGAAGGAGAGCGAGATAGAAACATCAATGAGAGAACATCGATTGGCTGCCTCCTACATGCCCCCCACTGGGAATTTGGCCCACAACCTGGGCATGTGCCCTGACTGGAAATTGAACTGGCCACCTTTTGGTACATGGGTTGATGCTCAACCACTGAACCACACCAGCCAGGTGATTCCCCTGTTTTTAAACATTTGTATGGTTAAGTTTTCTTTTTCTTGACAACGATAATTAACATGAGTTTGTTTATTGCCTTTTTTTTTTTTTTTTTGACATTTTGAAAGATTTTTTTTTTACCTTTTTAAGCCGTGGTAAAATATACATTACATGCCCTGACTGGTTTGGCTCAGAGGTTGGAGTGTTGGTCTGCGGACCATAGAGTCCTGGGTTCGGTTCCCACTAGGGGCACGTAACAACAACAACAAAAATGTAATGTAAAATTTACAATTTTAACAATTTTTAAGTGTAAAATTTACTGACAGTAAGTACATTTACACTGTTGTGAAACCATCACACCATCCATGTCAAGAACATTGTCATCCTACCAAATTGAAACTTTGTGACCATTACTAAAACTAACCCCATCTCCGCTTGCCCATTCCTGGTGACCTCTATTCTACTCTCTGTCCTTATGAGTTTGACTATTCTAGATATCTCATACAAGTGGAATCGTATATTTGTCCTTTTGTATCTGGCTTATTTTACTTAGCATAATGTTCTCAAGATTCATCTATGCTGTAGCAGGTATCAGAATTTCATTCCTTTTTAAGACTGAATAAAATGTCTTATAGCCCTGGCTAGGTAACTCAGTTGGTTGGAGCGTTGTCCCGTTACGTCAAAGTTTCAGGTTGGATCCCTGATCAGAGAACATATAGGAAGCAACCAATGAATGCATGTTTCTCTCTCTCTCTCCCTTCTTGTTTAAAATTAATACATTAAAAAAAATGTAAATGTCTTATATATTGGGTTTTTGGTAGAAAAGTTACTCAAAAGTGCAATTTCTTTTTTTCTTTTTCTTTTTTAATCCTCACCTTATTTTTCCATTTCTCTTTAGATAGAGTAAGAGGGGGAGAGAGAGAAACATCAATGTGAGAGAGAGACATGGATTGGTTGCCTTCCGCATGACCAGGGCCAGGGACTGAACCACAACCGAGGTATGTGCTCTTGACTAGAATCGAACCCATGACTCTTTCGTCTGGCGGTGGACACTCTAATGGCTGAGCCAAACAGGCCAGGGCCAAAAGTGCAATTTCTAAGTGATATAATAAGAATTTTAAATGATTTTTGTTGCCTGAAAATTATTCTCCCACATAGTCATATGAAATTTTTTTCCCCACTATGTTCTTGCTAATAGGAAGTATTATAAATTAAAACATTTTAAAACCCACTTTGTGCCCTGGCCTGATGGCTCAGTTGGTTGGAACATCATCCCAGACACCAAAAGGTTTTAGGTTTGATCCCTGGTTGGGGCACATTCGGTAGGTAACCAATCGATGTTTCTCTCTCTCTCTCCCCCTCTCCCATTCTCTCCAAAATCAATGAAAACATATACTCCTGTGAGGATTAAAAATAACCCACTTTGCTATGTTTTATGACCTGCTTGATTTTTGTTTTAATTTATCCTGCTTTAAAAATTGTTTTGCGCCTGGCCGGTGTGGCTCAGTGGATTGAGTATCATCCCATGGACTGAGAGGTCCTGGTTCGATTCCTGGTCAGGGCACATGCCCAGGTCGTGGGCTCCATCCCCAGTGAGGGGTGTGCAGGAGGCAGCCAATCGATGTATCTCTCACATTGATGTTTCTATTTCTCTCTCTCTAAAATCAATTAAAAGAAACATATTAAAAAAATTTGTTTTGCCTTTTTCTTGAGTGTTCGTAGTTGTATTGAAACCTAGAATAGTCAATAAACATCTGCTCTGAGTGGGTGGCTTTACCAGACATCTTGGGAATTACCGAGATGGAAGGCTGTCTTGAGGCAACACTTTTGCTTTGGATAACATACAAAAGAACAAATTTTTTCATAGTTAATGGGGTGCTAGCTACAATCCCAGAAAAAAAAAGACCCTAACAGCTCTTGGCAGGAAGTGCATATGGGCTGTTCCTTTAGCTTGTCACCCTGGCTGTGTGGTATCAAGGGAGGGCAAAGGGCTGTGCCAACTAACTCTGATGGTTGCCGCAGACTGCCTGAGACCCTAAGTTGAGAAGAATTCCAAGGCTATATGACCAGACAGTGGGGAAAGAGAATGCTCATCAGTGGACATTGGGCACAGCATTGTTGTAGGTACAAGGCTAGGAAACAAGAAACTCAGAGATAACCATTGGTTATTATTCACTTTTTAAAAAATTAAAATATAGTAAACATACAATATTAGTTTTGAGTGTACAACATATTCAACATTAATATACTTAATGAAGTGATCATGATAAATCTAGTAACCATTTGTCACCATACAAATCTATTGCCATGTTATTGACTATATTCCCTATGCTGTGCATTATTACATCCCTGTGACTTTTTACAACTGGAAATTTGTACCTCTTATTCCCCTTCATCTTTTTTTGCCCTTCCCTCCACCTCCTTCTCCCTGGCAACTGTCAGTTTGTTCTCTGTATCTATGAGTTTTATTGTTGTTCGTTTTGTTCTTTAGATTCTACAAGTAAATGCAATCACACAGTATTTGTTTTTCCCTGTCTGGCTCATTTCACTTACCATAATACCCTCTAGGTCCATCCATGTTGTTGTAAATAGAGAGATTTCATTCTTTTTTATTGCTAGTAATATTCCATTGTGTGTATGTACCACATCTTCTTTATTCATTCATTTATTGATGGACACTTAGGTTACTTTAATGTCTTGGCTATTGTAAATGACGCTGCAATGAACATAGGGCTGCATATATCTTTTCAAATCAGTGTTTTTGTTTCTTCAGATAGATACCCACAAGTGGAATTGTTGGATCATATGGTAGTTATATTTTTAACTTTTTGAGGAAGCTCCATACTGTTTTCCATAGTTGCTGCACCAATTTGCAATCCTGAAATCAGTGCACAAGGGTCCCCTTTTCTCCATATCCTCGTCAGCACTTGTTTGTTGGTTGCTATTCTTGATGTAGACTCATCAACCTTTTGAATGGCTGAACTTACTTGTATTTCATCTGATGAATGTGGGGTACTATATTTTAAAAAAGAAAGAAACAAGATAGAAAGGAAGGGAGGAAAGAAAAAGAAAGAGCACTTAATATGTTAAACACAACATTTTATCTGATCACAATGACCATGTCTTCTCAGGTAGTACCAAAAGATACTTATTTAATATATATTTGGACACCTGTCAGCATTGTGTTGGACTCCCTGAGTGATTTATAGTTTTTGCCCTCCAGGATTTGATACATAAAATGCTAATAACAAAATTCTTTATAAG